GTTTTTCCTGCATGTATGTACATGCCTAGTGCCTACAGAGGCCAGAAGTGACTGTTGGATTCTTTGCAAGTGGAATGAGCTGCCTTATGGGTGCTGAGAATCAAACCTGGGCCCTCCTCAAGAGCAGCAACTGCTCTTAACCACCGAACAATTTCTCTCACTCCGTATATTCCCCTTTTGTGGACTGTTGCCCAGGAAAAACCCACCCATGTCCTTCAAGTGATGTTTGTGAGGCTGGAGGGATTTAGTATTTTAGAAAGAAAAGGGGGACACATGAACCCCTTGGTGGCATATGAATCTGAAGGGAGCTTCTGGATGGCTACCCTGAAGTTTGCAGAGTCCTGAACCCATCATTTGGTTAGGCTGAAGTGATAACAGTCAGACTCATCAACATTCTCCTGTATGACCAGCACAGCAAGGCTCCCAAATGCCAACCAGGTGATTGGGGTGATGAAGCCAGGACTTTCCTTTTCTTTCTTTTGCCCAAAAATACAAAATGAAATTACCTTGCCATTTCAGTTTTTTGTCCCCCCATTTTGTGTCCGTTTGCCGGCAGGCTCTTTCTATCTATTCCTTCCCCGCTGTTACCAAGATGAATAAAGCTACATATTCCAAGGCTGTCTGTTGACCTTTGGGACTTAGAAGTCCCCAACAGCAGCTCTGAAATGAATGTGCATCCATGAAGCACTTCAGGCATGCGGAGGGAAACAAATGACTGAGCTCTTTCCAATTCACAGCACCCAGCAGGCAGAAAAGCAGCAATTTGAGATTTCCAAAGTATCTGGGAGTCTCACAAGGTAAGGCTGGCGATTGGCAGTCAAAGGTACCAGTTAAGCACTAGTTCTGTGGGTCCAGAGTCCCTGCTCCCCAGGGCTTCAAAACAAAAGGCAAATGTACCTTATTGCAATTAGGCTGTGGTGATATTGCTTTAGCAGTTTGGGAGATTTTTCTTGTTTTGCTTTGACCAAGAGACCCGCTGTTCACACACATCCATGAGACATTCTAGAGAAATGAGTATCTCTAGCTACATGAAATAGAAGCATCTTCCGTGGCAAAATACCATTGGCCTGGGAGGAAGGCAGTTCCTGTTTGACAAGCCACTCAAGCGATTTGACTTCCTTTTAAAAAATAACTGTCTTTTTATTATGTCGATTGCATTTTATTTAGTGTGTGTGTGTGTGTGTGTGTGTGTGTGTGTGTGTGCACATGCTCGCATGCACTAGTTTATGTGGGCAAGCATGTGACAGGTCCTACATACGGAAGCCAGAACACAACTTGCAAGAGCCAGTTCTCAATCCTTTCTGGGTGAGGCGGCAGGAGTCTGTGCTCTCTGAGCCGTCTGGGTGGTCCCTACCTTTTCCTTCTTGGGATCGTCAGCAATATCACCATTGTACTTGAGTTAGCACAGAAGACTCAGGGGTCATTTTTCCTTGGTCTGTATGTCATGACTCGTCCCTGCTACTCTTAAATCAAAGTGATGTCCTCACTAAGGCTGAGGAGTCTGCAGCTCTCACCTGACGCCTGCCTACTTTTCCTCCTCCCTTACTGTACCGCAGCCACACTGACTCTTTATGCATATCTAGCATAGGTCTCCCTGGTGGCTGTGGGCTTTTCTGTTTTGTTTGCCCAGAATTATTCCCTTGGCTTGCAACATTCAGTTCTTGAGCAGACTCCCTAGACTGGTTATCTTTAAAAGCAACTTTTATCTTCAAGTCCTTTAGTTTATTTTTTCCTCTAAGGTCCCATTTGCATCGGATGTTGTATTGGTTTCCATGGCAGCCGGTCTCTTTCCACTGCAGTGTTAACTATATGAAAATGCAACTCCTCTGTACTGCTTGCCGATCTAGCCCCAGTGATGAGACTATTGCTCTGTACATGAAAGACATGCAATGTACTGATTGAACAGGTCTGTTTTCTCTCTCTTTAATGGAAGAAAGAAGCCTATGTGTTGTTTATAAATATTATGAATAATATATTAAAGAGAGTCCCCAAATCCCCTTGGCATTGTAGTATAACCTGCTGAGCCCCATCTTTTACCAGATACTGTACTCTGGTAGCTCTCCAGCTGTCACTGAATGTTGTTCTTTGTCTAACATTGCATGCTGTTATTTATGAACCCTTGGAAGGACAGACTGGAAACCCAATTCGGGGGCTCTCAGGTATTAATATGTATGTACTCATCTCTCTAACTCCTCAGGGTAATATTTGTGCGCCTTCTTTAGGGCTTCCCTGTGGGATTACACTCCATCCAATCAGAGTGGCAGTTATCTAGATAGCCCGGCCATTATTGTATGCTCTGTGTGTGTGTGTTTGTGTGTGTGCGCACACGCATGTTTTCCAATAAAATAATGCATTGATTCCCTGCTTCCAGTGCGGGGGTCAATGGTACAGCATGTGTTCTGTATAATTGAGGTCAAAAGTTCAATTGCCATCATGCTGAAAGACCAAAAATTACAGTAATAAATTAAATAAATAATATATGTTTCACACACCTGGTGTGGAGGTTTGAATGAGAATGGCCCCCACAGCCTCATATATTTGAATGCTTGGTCCCAAGTTGGTGGGATGGTTTGAGAATGATTAGAAGGTGTGGCCATGGTGGAGAAGGTGTGTCACTGTGGATGGGATTTGAGGTTTCAAAAGTCTATGCAAGGCCCCATTTGCTCCCCCTGATTCTGACATGATGATGAGAACGTAAGCTCTTAGCTACTGCTCCAGCACCGTACCTGCTGGTCTGCCGCCATGCTTCCTACAGTGGTGATCATGGACTTATCCTCTGAAGCTGTAAGCAAGCCCCCAATTAAATGCTTTCTTTTATAAGTTATCTTGGTCATGGTGCCTCTTCACAGTGATAGAAAAGTAGGAAGAGACTTGGAAATATATATGTTTAATGCATAGCAGGTATTGGAAGAGAAATTCAGTAAAAAGAAAGAAAGAAGGAAAAAGAAAGAAAGAAAGAAAGAAAGAAAGAAAGAAGATTCTGTAACAAAAGAACAAGTGGTATCATTGAGAAGGGAAATTTCAATAAATCCAGCAAATACTGAGATGTATCACTGTGTACTAGACCAGACCAAAGATACCAAAAATTAAAGGTTGAGGAATTATTAAATTCCTATATCATTAAACGAACAGCAATTTCTACAATTGCTGTTCCCAATCTGTGAATCTGTAGTAGAGATGAGGAAATACAGGCTAAAGGCATGATAACTAATTCAACAAATTGTAGCAGAGAAGTTTTCAGATCTACAGAAGGAAATGGACAACCATGAGCAGGAGGAATTTGGAACTCCATGTGTACATTAGCAGACAAGAATCACTCCATGCTGGGCTTGAGAGATGGCTCAGCGGTTAAGAGCACTGGCTTCTCTTCCAGGGGTCCTGAGTTTGATTCCCAGCAACCATATGGTGGCTCAAAACTATAGTGGGGTCTGATGCTCTCTTCTGGCATAAAGGCATACATGCAAGTAGAATACTCATATACAATAAATAAATCTTAAAAACAATCTCTCCAAGCAATACTGTGGTTAAGATGCCAGTGGTGTGGTACAAAGAATTGTGGAAGTTGTAAGGGAAGAATTCCAAGTTGGTTACAATGACAAGCTTGTCACCATGACAGTAGCAGCCTTATCAGAGGCACTAAAGAACAGGAGTGAGCTGATGCATTTGAAGCCCTGGGAAAAAATAACTACCAACACAGATGGCTATATCCAGCAAGGTTATCCTTTAAAAATCAAAGGAGGAATGGAGACCTTACATCTTCTGCATAAATTAAAGGAATTCACAGTCCCAAGCCAGCACTGCAAATGAGACTTACAGCTATAATATCCCCAGTAGAAGAAAAATATACAGAAGCACAAGAGTCAGGAAAGAACATATCTCACTAGAGAAACAGACAAGAATTAAGAAAGAGTCAAATATTACTTATTCATCAATAAACCTATATAAGTTGAAGAAAGGAGAAAGTAGTATATCACGTTCACTAATAATCCAAATGAGAATTGTCGTAGCACTTCAGTTAAAAGACACGGACTAGTTGAACGGACTATAAAATAACCATCAGTCTATGCTGTCCGCAAGAAACTCACACCACTGGGAAAACCACAAGCAGACTGAAAAGAAAAGTCAAAAAAAAAGACAGTCCAATCAGAATCTGAAACAAAGTACACCTGACAAAGCAGACTTCAGGCCAAAATTCATCATAACGGATAAGAAAAGCCATGTTAATAAGCAGAACAATCCATCAAGAAAATACAACGACGGCAAATAGACATTTATTGAATGCAAGCATACCCCGTTTCATAAATCAAACACTACAGAACACAAAGGGGAAGAGTTCCATAGAGGGGGTGACTTTCGTATCCTGCCTTAATCAATAGGCGGCTCGTTCAAACAAACGAAAAACCAACGCATGAACTTCAGCATTACGACTGCCTCAAAACACTAAACTGATGATAGCAACAATTCATAAAATGAGTAAGGCAAAAATTTAAAATGTATTTACAGCAGATAAGGCACTTGAGGAAAATATAGGATGCGCTTTATAATTAAGATAAATTCATACGAAACAGATCAGAGATGTATTGCAGAAGTAAGTTTTCACAAATGGCAACTCTCTGCCTGTCAGTATCACTGTCTGCATTTCTAAGACAGCCTTTTAAAATTTTTAAAATTACATTTTATTGATTCATCTTGTGTGCATGCATGTGTGTATGTGTATTGGTGTTTGTGTACGAGCACATGCCACAGTGAACACGTGGTCAGAGGGTAACTTAAGAATAGTCTGTTCTCTCTTTCTACCACGTGGATTCTGGACATTGAACTCCAGTCATCAATACTGACCCTTCCCGTGGTTGTGAAATGACCAATCATTGGTTAGTACGATTGCATCAAAATCAATTATTTGGGTATTGGTTAAGGACACTCAGCCAGTTCATATGGAAAGATGCTTGTTAAAGTGTAGGCAATAGAGGTAGATGAAAACAGATCGTATGGAAACTTACCTCAGCTTTGGTAGGAGCCACTCGGAGCTGCATTCTAAAGTGTGGGTCAGCCATCTTTCCTTCTGAGCGGGCTGCTGACAGTAGGTCATGGCAGGGAATGGTGTGTGTTATGTGTCTTCAGACTGCACCAGGAAAATCCAGAAAAGCAATGTGGAAGTTACTGTTGTTGTCACCGCGACAGACAGACAATAAGGAGGGGGAAGAAGGCTCTGTATGGTCATGACTTGAGGATATCCAGTCCGGCATGGTGGGAGCGCATCATGCCATGAACACAAGGCTGCTGTAGTTGAGGAAGCAGAAAAGGGAATTTCAACACTCAGTTAGCTTTGTCCTTTCTTCTGTTTTTATTCAGCCTGGAGAACCTGGGATGCTACTGCCCACCTTGAGGGTGGGTCTTCTGCCTCCTCACTCAAAACTCTCCGGGAAAACAACCTCAAGATGCACCCAGACATGTGCTACACTGATGTCCAAGGTGTTTTTCTTTTTTCACTCAAGTTGAATTTCAAAATTAACTACCACAAGCAAGAAAGACCTTGTCATTAAAGGTTATGAGAACCACTAAGAACACAGTACCATAAATGCATAAAAATGCCATAGCAAAGAGCATTATTTTGTAAACTGAATTTTAAAAATTAGTTAAAAGTCTGTATCAGTTTTTAAAAATCAGAGTGGCATAGAAAATGAAAGACCAGTTGGCCTAAAATTTTAGAGTGGACAATTGGCCGCCCATTTTCCCAAGAGCTCTTGGTAAATTTGCATGCAAGATGATAAACGGGCTTTGGCCAGGTGTGAGGCTATTATCAGAAAATATATAGCCAACCAATCATTTTATGGCTGATGATTTCAGAAGATCTAAATATTTGGCCCACCAGAGGATGTATGTAAGTTTAAGACCAGGGTCAAGAGAGATGTCTCAGTGGTTAAGAGTAAATGCCAACCAAGCACAAACACCTGAATCCCAGTCCCCAGAACGCACATACAAAGCCAGGCATCACCACATAAATGCCTGCACTCCCAGAAGACCACCAGCCTACATGCGTAGCCTGTGAGAGGCCTCTCTCTAAATATTAAGATGGTAAATGACAGAGAAAGATACCTAGTGTCCTCCTGTGGCCTGAGCATACATGTATTCCCACATATACACATACCAGCCCCAAACATATGCATCCCTATACTCATGCATAAATACATACACACACACACACACACACACACACACACACTAGCAAGAGCAAAACACCCAACAGAACGAGATGTCACCATGCTGGAACCACCTCGCAGAGAATTCTAAACAACCGTGATTGCTATGGTAAAGGCTCAACAGGAAAGCCAGCAAATTGAAAACCATGAGACGATTCTAAGCAACCCATGAGGACGAGAGGACCCACCATGGAAGTAACAGAAATGAAAGCAGTCCATTCAGGAACACACTGTCCAGGGCTTCCAAGGACTAGAGGATAATAGTTAGGAGTTCTTATAAAGAAGAAAGGAAAAAAGATGCTTCAAGAAGTAGCAGCTTTTTCCAAAATTAATCAAAACCAAAAGCTTAGAGGATTCCAAGCATGTGTTCAAAGAACAGCACACACCCGGCAGTGTCTTATGTAGGGCTCTAGGGCGGAGATAAACACCATGACCAAGAACAACTTGGGAGGAAAGGGCTGATTTCAATTCAATCCAGGAATAAGTCCATCACTGAAGGAAGTCAGGGCAGGAATGAAGGTGGGAACATTCCAGAAAATGGTCCCACAGACCGGCCCCCAGGCCAGTCTGATGGAGGCAATCCCTAAACTGAGATTCTCTTTTCTTCATACATCTAAGTTTCTGTCAATTTGACAAAACCAACCAACGAACACACTGTCATCAATTAGATGACAACAAAAAACACATGTTGAAATTTTGATTACATCCAACCATACCTCTGTAGCAAAAGAGCAGAATCTGCAAGTCAGTCAACAAATTAAAAAAACCTGGAAGTTACCTCAAATCCTTATTTTGAAGCTTTTATTTTGTTTAATATGTTGTGTGTGTCTCTGTGTCAGTACACACTGTGCACGTGAGTATCTATAGAGGACAGAAGAGAAAGTCAGGTTCTCTAGAACTGCAGTTGCAGGCGGCTGTGAGTAGTCACATGAAAACCACATGCAAAGGCAGCGAGCACTCTTAACCACGGAGCCATCTTTCCAGCCCCGCACCTTGTTTTCCTTCTGTCCTAGGGTTACTATTGCTGTGATGAGACACCATAACCACAAGTGACTTGGGGAGGAGAGGGTTTATTTCACTCACAGTTTCATAGAACAGTTTGCCATCAAAAGCAGCAAGGTCAGGAACCTGGAGGCAGGAGATGATGCAGAAGCCGTGGAGGAGTACTGCTTACTGTTGCCTACTGTTTCTCAGCCTGATTCTTACAGAACCCCAGACCACGAGCCCAGAGTTGGCACCACCCACAGCAGGCTGGGCCCTGCCCCCTCAATCACGAATTAAGTAAATGCCCTACAGGCTTGCCGACAGTCAGATCTTGCAATCTTATGAAGGCATTCTCTCAGTGGAGCCTCCCTCCTCTCTGATGACTCTATCGTTTGTATCAAATTGACATAAAACTAGCCAGCACGAGTGACCTCTTGCTGACGTGACGCACAAACATTTCCCTTTTCAATTAGAACTTTCTCATTTATCCCCCAAATGGCACATTGACATTAATATCACGATATAAAACGTAAATAACTTTAGACATCCCACAGTCTTTTTACATATTCAGGATAGCCAAAACAATCCTATACAATAAAGGATCTTCTGGAGGCATTACCATCCCTGACTTCAAACTCTATTACAGAGCTACAGTAATGAAAACAGTGTGGTACTGGCATAAAAACAGAGAAGTCGACCAATGGAATCGTATAGAAGACCCGGATTTTAACCCACAAACCTATGAACACCTCATTTTTGATAAAGGAGCTAAAAGTATACAATGGAAGAAAGAAAGCATCTTCAACAAATGGTGCTGGCACAACTGGATGTCAACCTGTAGAAGAATGAAAATAGACCCACATCTTTCACCGTGCACAAAACTCAAGTCCAAATGGATTAAAGACCTCAATATCAGCCCGAACATACTGAAAAGGATAGAAGAGAAAGTGGGAAATACCCTACAACAGATGGGCACAGGAGATCGCTTCCTATGTATAACCCCAGAAGCACAGACATTAAGAGCAACATTGAATAAATGGGACATACATATTCAAACAAATTAGAAGTCTAGTCTTTTTAAAAATCCAAAATTTCCTCTAAAACCTCAAAATCTCTCAACTGTGGGCTGCTGTAAAAATCAGAATTAAGTTAAATACTTCCTTAATCTAGGAAGCAAGAAGCACGACACAGACACAATCTGAACAAAACTCCGATAGTCTAAATAACTCAAGGCCCAATATCTGGGATTCACTCACAAGCTTCAATCTTCAAAGCCCTCCAAAGGACTTGCGTCACTTCTCGGCTCTGCCCTCTGCAGCGCACACAGCCGGCAGAGGCTCTGTCAGGCTCCACTTCACAGCTGCGGCTGTTCTTGGTGGCCATCACATGACCCTGGCATCTCCAAAATGCGTTGGTCTCTGATGCAAGTGGGTTACACTTTACCGATAGCCTCTCCTGGACTCTCTTCATGTTGTCAAAGCTCAACTTCTTCCCAACTACACTTTCTCTCCTGGGGCTTCAACTACTACCGAGGCTGCACTTTTGCCGGTGGACTATCCTGGCCCCTCACAGTGCCACGCCTCAGTGGCTTTTCATGCCTTCCAAACCAGTAACACCTGGGTGACTCTTACACCTGATCAAGTTTGGCTGCCAGCACAAGGTACAACCATGGCCACCCTTGGAACATGGCTCACATGTGCTGGCTGGGAAAACACTTCCCAGATTTTACTTCAGAAGTGCTGGTCTCTTCTGAATCGCTGCTGATTCTTCAGTCCCCGCTGGTCAGCAGCCATTGTCCCAGCAAAACAATGATTTCGCTTTAGCAGTTCTGATCTCTTCTTAATCACAGCTGGTTCTCAGCGCCAGCTCACGAGAACCACAGCGTCTTCACACAGGGGACAGGACTCTGACAATCAGGAGCCAGGCCTCTATCGGTCCCCACCTCTCTCAACAGTCTCATCTTCCAAGCTTCTACAGAACAGCCCACTGAGTTCTCAACACTCAATGGCTTTTCTAGCCTAAAGTTTCAAAGTCCTTCCACAGTCCTCCCCAAAACAGCATGGTCAGGGCTGTAGAGCAATGACTTTTCATAAATTATTAGCAAAAATGTATTGTGCACAAGAAGCACTGGCAGTTGGTGTTACCCAGTGTGGAGACGTTTGGCTTACCCTTCCACGCTGTCCTGTTGCACAGCCAATGAAGTGATGCCATGGGTTTAAACTGACAACACATGGCATTTTCATCATGGGGAAAAAAGGGAGGTTCAAAAAAGAACATTAAATAGCAAAAAGCTATGTATGTTTTTTACTTATAAAAATGTCCTAAATCAGCAATATAAGATATAAAATTCAGATTAAATTTCTAGGATTTATCATTGGTATAGGATGAGTATTCTTTTGTTTCATTTTGTTCATGACAAGGTCTCATTATGTAACTCTATATAACCTAAGATTCTTTATGTGGCCAGGGTGGCCTCAAACTCACGGTGATCCTTGTGCCTCGTGGTCTTAAGTACTTACCGTTTCCCAAGCATGGCTGTATTTGGAAATCATATAAGCGTATTAAAATATTGATACTATTTTAATTACATGTATGTGTGTTTCTGTGTGTAGGTATGTGTGCATGAGAGCGGGTACCCATGGAGCCTAGAAGGGGATGCTGAATCCCCTGGACCTGGGGTTACAAGAAGTTGTGGGCTCCCTAATGTAGGGTTTAGGCACTGCTTGAGTCCATTAACCACGAAACCATCTCTCCAGCGCCCACATAAGCATGGTTAGCCTCCAGGGCTCTCGACTGTTCCAACAATACTGAGTTCAGGCTGGAAACCATGTTTAGATTGGTTTGCTAAAACTTTCTGTGTGACGCAGACACACACAGTCACAGTGGGGACAGCCTGTCCATGTCATCTTCCCTCATTTGGGGAAACCAACTCTCTTTTTTTACATCACAGTTGTCTATGGCTAACTCTTGTTCCTCTGGCTGGAATTCCTGGTTGCCTGGAGGTGTGCTGGGGATGGG